GACATCATTTTGATAATGCTATATACATGCAATCAAATATTCATGTATACCTGTATATCGAATATTCATACATGTGTCCTCTACAAGATTTATTTTAGTGTGTATGTTCATGTGTGTGAGTGTGTTTATTTCTGTGGTGCTTATCTATGTGTTTGGGGTACCTGCATAAAAGTCAGAAGAGGGTATTGGGGTCCTCCTATTCCTTTGAGGGAGGGTCTCTCCTTGAAGCTGGGACTTGCATTTCTTTTTAAACTATATTGGAAATCAGCTAGTATCAGAGACCCTACTGTCTTCGTTCCCCACTGAAGAGAAGGGCTCCAGGCACACAGGGCCTCTGGTTTGTTCTGTGGGTGGTGGGACATGAACTCTGGCCCTCATGACACAGCGAGTGTTCTCAGCCACAAAGCCATCTTTCCGTCCCGATTTTGTCTTTTTCTGCTTCTTGTTCTTTCCCAGAGACCTCTCCTCTTAGTGGAATGTATTAGTAATTGAATCCTTGTGCTGAATAGGTGTCCAACCTGTAGGCATATCACAGCAGTACAGTCATCCCTCTACGGGAAGACCTCTGGACCACCAAAAGATGGTTTGCACTGTTATATCTCTGGATATCTATCTTCATTGGGGTTCATGTGAATGCAGTTTTTCTTCCCCAGGGGTTTGTGCTGAGGGCTGCAATTATGGAGTTAAATGTAATCATATGTTTAGTTTTAAAACAAACTGTCAAACTTTGAGGCCGCGAAGATGAATCAGTGGGTTACAATGACTGCTCAACAGACATGAGGACCTGAGTTCAAATCCCCAACACCCACAAAAAAAAAAAAAAGCTAAGCCTGGTGGTGCGTGCCTACAACCTGTGGAGACAGAGACAAACGGATCCCTCCAACTTCCTAGCCAGTCTAGGAGAAATGGAGATCGCTGGTTTCAGCTAGAGGTCCTATCTCAAAGGTGGAGACCCCAGGGCTCAGTGACCATCCCAGTAGGAGAAGGCAGCGGTGAGAGAAGACAGGGACAAAACCAAACAAAAAGAGTGTCTTCTGGACGTGATAGGACCACCGCACAGCATCTGTGCTTGCCCCATCAAGATGGAGCCAGTCAGCATTCCAGCGTGGAGAGGGGAGGGCTCACGAGCCCCCACCCCTAGGGGAGCTACTGGACAGCTGACGGCTCTCAGGGAGGGAGAGCAAGCCAGTTTCCTTTAAGGGTGTGGCTCCTAGTAGGTCGCCTCTGTGCTTCAGTGAATAGCCCCACACCCATGAATATACGGGCAGCACAAACCGGACCAGATGAGTTATGAGAAAGGAAAAGGACACGGAGCTGAGGGGGGCATGAAGAGATAGGGAGTGGATCTGAGGAAGGAGTGAATGGGCTCAGAATAAATTCTATACATGCGTGAAATTTTCAATTCGCGAAAATATTTTGCTTTTAAAAATAAGGAGAGAAATAGGAAGACACCTAAAGTCTGCCTTTGTCCTCTGGACACATGCTCACACACTCCGTGCATACACACGCGCCGCGCGCGCGCACGCATGTGCATGCACACATAAACACAAAGAAAAAAGAAAGGAAGGGAGATGTAAACTGTCTTCCAGAATGTCTGTGCCATTTTACAGTCCCACCACCCTTGTGAGTTCTCTAGGCTAGCCATATCCTTGCAGGCAGTCACTATTGTCTTTATTTCTATTTCCGTCACCCTGACAGTGTGGTGTACCCTGCTATGGCTTGACTTTGCCTCTCCCTCCCTAGTGACTACTGGCGCTAACCAGCCTTTCGTGGGGCACTGTGAAGCAGCGTCAGACCAGGGCCGCTATGAGAAGGTGGTTCAAACAGTCTCTGACAAAAGCCACAGGGAGCCTGAGCCAGAGCGTGGCATGAAGGGACGGGGTAAGATGAGGGTTGGGGGGTTCCAGAAATATCTAGAAAGCTGGCCAAATGACTCCTGAGACAGAGAGACTGAGAGACACTGCTAAGGAAGATAGAGGGATCCAAAGTAAATTCTAGGTTTCTAACTCAGAGAAGACGCTCCCGAAACCCTCCGTTTTGCCTGTAAGCGCTCCGTATAACTCAGAAGCGCTGGAGATGAGCTCTCAAAACTGTACTTGATCCAAAGATAAAAATTTGAAGGCTCAGCTCTTCTCTCACCGATTTTTAAACCCTAGCTCACTGGATTCTATCTGCGGGCCTCCGGCCCCCAGAACCTCGACATCCAACGTCGACAGGCACACAAAGCATTTTCTATCGCCCACGACACACACACATCCTGTACCTAAAGCACCATTTATCCAGGTGACGGAGATGAGGTTTCATTTCAGGAGCTCATATTAAGATTTGTACATTTTAATTTTTTTCCCCACTGTGATTATTTTTTCCATCAGGTAATGAAAATGAAATCAGGTGGGAAAGCATGCAAAATGTTAAGTCCTTCAGAAGTGGTTGTGACTTCTGGCGACTAACAGGCCTTCCTGGGGAGCAGGGTCTCGGCAATGTTGGCTTTCTGGTCCCCTGGGTATTATTAGACTTTGAAGGAGTTCCCGCCCTGCCCCTAGACCTCCCTATTCCTGCCGCAGGTGGCCTTCCCTTTGAACCTGAGATTCTCTTCCACAGCCCACAGGGCTGAGGGTGCGCCCTTGGCCCCAGAATTCATCCCTTGGTTCCTGGCCCTCCTTGGTGAACAGCCTTATCTGGGAGGGGTCTTTTACGGGTTTCTAATCCCCACACTTGCAGCACGGTTGTGGAACTTTGCAGACTTTATGATTTCAAAATTGCATTTCCTAAGACTTATCAATCACTAAACACACACCAGCAATACTCATGTCATTTAGCCTCCAGGTAATGCCGCGTGAAAAGGAAGCCAACCAGCCCAGGCATGGACAGAGAGAGCAGCTGAAGCTCAAACCTGGGCCCTCACTGCAAACTTACAGCCTGAAACACAAACCACGCTGCCCAACCAGATCTTTTAATATGCCAGGCGGCCCACGGAAAAGTCAGGCCAAAGCCCAGAAAATACAGACTCCAGCCTCACCGCTGGCGTTTCATAAATCGGCTGCTTCGGTTCAATCCCGAAGAAATTGAGGTTATTCTTCGAGGTATGGGAGGGAGGTTAATGAGCAAAAACCAGCTGGCTCTGTTTCATCACCTGACTCACACAGTCACCGATCCCGGGTAACGCAGAAGCCACAGGTCAAATCCAAGATCTTTCTGCAAATCAGGGAGTTTTTCCTCCCAGGAATATGAAAGTGACCTCGTGTCGCCTGATAATACCTCAGAAGTCTTCAGCCCCGGGAATTGGAATGAGCGATGACACAGAAGTGTAAGCCTGAACCGCAGGGCTTGCTCTGCATCCATCCAAGTGATTGCCTCTGCTCTGAAGATCTGGCCTTCCAGCCTCCATGCTACGCTTCTTCTTCTTCTTTTTTCCACAACCCAGAAAATAGTGAAGCTTCATTTTTTTCCCCATTTATATTTGTCTTTTTTGTTTTATTTTTGTATTTTCTAAAATTAAAAAAAAAATATCCAATGTCCGGACCCTGCTTATTTAAAAACAAGCAAGCCGACTTCCGCTGTGTAAGGCAGGGCCCCTAAGGAGTTTCCCTGGAGGATCTGCAGTTCCTGAAATGAACCCAGTCTGAAGAAGCTGGGAGGCAGCAGGAAAGGAGGAGAGAGCCATGTGACCTGCACTTCCTCCTGGCATTTCCCTCTGGGAATTCACTCAGGTCCCTAGATCACAGGCCCCTTCCACGTGTCAAAGCCAAGGCTAAGTGGTGAAGCTGGCTGGCTTCTTTTTCATGCTTTGTTTCTGGGGGCCGGTGGTGTGGATGCCACTGATATGTGCTGACGGACTGGAAGATCTCGGTCAATGCAATTTTAGAATCGTAGAGGTTGCAGATAAACTACTGTCTATAGCATGCCGACCACAGCCCTCTTGAACTTGACAGTCCTGCTTCTCATTAGGATGATGAACTAGAAGACTGCACTCCTATCGCTGGGAAGAAAAGGACAGTAGGCTGGGTGTTGGAGGAGTTTGCGGGGGGGGGGGGGGGGGGGGGGGATTCTACAAAAGAGACTTCCCTATAGGATAAAGCACCCATCATGCTCCCAGTGAGGAGGAGAGGCTTACACTAAAAGCAGCATCTATAATGCATGGGAATGTTTCAGAAGAATGGTAGAAATGAGAGAGAAATAGTAGTTTTTTGTTGGAGGGGACCACTTGTTTGTTTCCCAACTGCCCAGAAACCAAAATAATCACACGGAAACTGTGTTAATTAAATAACTGTTTGGCCTATTAGCTCTAGCTTCTTACTGGCTAACTCTTACATATTAATTTAACCCATTTCTATTCATCTGTGTATCACCACATAGCTGTGGCTTACCAGCTAAAGTGCCAGGGTCTGTCTCTGGCAGGGCTTCACATCTTCTCTCTGAGTCTGCCCTTCTTTCTCTTAGCATTTAGTTGAGTTTCCCCTATCTACCTCTATTTTTTTTTTTTTGCCCTATCAGGCCAAACCAGTTTTCTTTATTAATTAACCAATCGTATTCACAGCATACAAAGGGGAATCCCATGAAAGAGGTCTGACTCGGTCATTCTTGGAACATTCATCAGAAGGCTTAATGAAATTCGGTGTCTCTCTGAGCTTCCCTGTGGCTCATGTGACCTAGAGTCCTCAGAGCCCACAGTGTACCAGTGGAGCTCATCCATGAACACTGGATGCATCTCACCCTAGGTGACAGCCAGTCATTCATACTCCACTAGCTTTGGAACCATTATTGAAAGTAGACATCCATGCTGAATCCCTAGGGTGTGTAGTATTTCTGTCCTAAGCCTACCAAGAAAGGTAGGGAAATAGGGGTGGGGGGTGGGGGGTATGCATTGACTTTGAACTCCGGTAGACATGAACACATGAAGCCTGACTGCTTATTTTCTTTTGGAACTTGTTTCCTATAAAATACAATAGTTTTTACCTGCTAGGATTGGCACAAGGATACAGGCAACATCTACAACAGGATGTTGTAGGGAAGGAACTCAGTAGATGATTGCAAAATAAAACCCAAAGGGATCTGCCCCCCGGGCCAGAAGAATAAGAAGCCAGCAAGCCTCCCCACCATCCAGATCACCACGAAGGCAATGGAACCTGCCAGCTGGTTCCCAAGGCCTCTAGATTGTCCAGGCCTGGCTTCTGTGGGAGCTGTTGTGGGACGGGAGGCTATGTTCACTGACCACAGCCCAGCTGGTCTGCAGCTGCGGCTGCCCAAACCCTTCAACTACACTCATGTCTAAGTCAGTCAGCTTCACAGAAGAGTCGGCTTCCAAGTCACTTTATTCTGTTGCCTAAAATAAAGAAATAAATAAAAATAAATGAGGAAAAGCGGTGTTGCTTTTCTGTTCCTAGGACTGGTAGTTAACTTTTTTAAAAAACAAACAAACTCAGGTCCTCATTTTGCTTAGATTACCGTTCTACCATATATAGCAAATGGGGCTAAAAAGCTGACAATGTCCTTCGTGAGTTAATTTGATCTTCTTTCCTTTTTGAACTCTTACTTTTTAGTGTGTGTGTGTGTGCGTGTATGTTGTGCAGATTTGAAGGTGCCAGCCCTCTGTATACCACATCATGCATGAGGAGGTCTGAAGACAACTTTTGGAGTCGGTTCTCTCCTTCCACCTTGTTTTTGAGGCAAGATCTCTCCCGTTGCTGCTGTTGTACTGTGGACTCCAGGCTCGCGGGCCTGCAAGCTTCCCAGAAATTCTTCTGTCTCCACCTCCCATCTCACTACTACTCCATAACAGATGCAGTCCCCGCATCCAGCTTTTTCCACAGAATCCAGTTGACCAGACTAACGGAACATTCTTACCCACTGACCCGCACCCATGGGCACAGGCCCTGGGTTTTTCGATTCACACACATTATCAGGTGTGGAAAACTAAACAATGTTCAAAGGAAGGTTTGGAGGTGCCCTGCCACGAGTCTTATTATCATTGACTTCTCTCTTTCCAAGTCTACCCTTCTTCAGCCCTTTGTACCAAAACTTTCTGGTTTCTGTATGTTTTTAGCCTTTGTAGAGTCAGAGATCAAACCCAGGGCCTTGCACTTCTAGGCAAGCACACTAACACAGACTTATCTGCCCACACCATTTCTGCCACTTTGGTATTTCTTCATTCCTGAGTTCTGCACAACATTTGGGTTGCCAACACCTCCTTCTTCCTAGTGTCTTCTAAGTAGCCTGGAAGGCCAAGAGCAATAGGGTCTCCTGGCTGCTCTCCTGCCTCTTGTCTCTGCAAACTGAGCTCCATCCATCCATCTGTATTCCTTTCCAACTCAACTGCCATCTACGGCTCTCCTGTGCTCACTCTTCAGCAAAGACAGCAGTCAAAAGATGGCTTGCTCTAGTCTGTTCTCTCCTCCCATCATGTGGGTCCCAGCGACCGATGAAGCTCCGTCTTGGCAGCCAGCTCCTGCCGCAATCACCTTTAACCTGCTGAGCCATCTCAACAGTCCCCGCAAACTTATTGAACCGAATCACTACTTCCATGTCCATTTTTAGCCTTGATGTCAATTATTTGATACACAGTGTCCTCAGTCTAGTTAAGACGTCTTCTTTTTCTGTCATTTTCTAAGATGTGACCTGCATGATCCTCATTCCATCGACCCTAAACCCAGCACACCCCCATAGCTGCTGGCCATAATAAAAATCTAATTAACAAAGTCACACGTCAGACAATGCAGCAATGCCCCCGCCCTTTCACCCTGTATTCTTTTAGTAGGTCACAGCTTCCTAAGGCCACTGGTTGGAAGTGAAGGCCAGCAGGCTGACCCAAAGTAGCATTCGCTAGTGCAGGTTTCATTAGGACTGTTTCATTAGAGGAAGGGGTCTACACTGATGGACAAGGAGCCTGATTCCCTGAAAGATCCCTCTGCTCCTATTTTCTAACTATACTACAGGTGCCTAAGGGCAAGGGGTCCAGCCTAGGGCCTGACAGTGACGTAAATGTTCGATAAAAGCCCCCTGCAGAGACGTTGATCCCAGAGGGCAAGCTCCCAGCACTTCCCTAATGTCACTAATGTCACTGGGACCAGGGGTGAGCTAGAGTGTCACTCTTTTTACAACGGGGGTCTTGGTAGAGTTCTGACTGGACACTCTGAGTTCCAGCTACACTTTTACAGCTCTGAACTTGAAGTTACAGAGAAAGATGGGCTGAGCGGGTATTCTGACCCGGAAGAGCCAGCCAGCCATGTGCCTGTTTTGTCAGTCAAGCAAAAAGGAGTCTCTCCTCTGCTCATCCTGAATTCACTTTCTGAGGGTGCCTTCTCGCCCAGCAGGTGCCACCACTCATTTGCAACAGACAGAAACAGCAAATTGCTCCACACCCCGGGAGCTCCGCCAGCTTTCCCGCCCGCGGGGCGTGGTCCTGGGAGGAGAGCCGCCTCCCGGGTGCGCCAACGCGGGCTCGACTGGCAAGCCCGGCCGTTGACTCTTCTCTCTCCTAACTGCTGTAGCGAGTGGAGGCCTGGCGACCTGGGCTCTCAGCTGCGAGCATGCAGTTCTCACAGAAGGAAGGAAAGAGTGGTCGGGAAGGAGTAGACGCCCCAGCTGTCTTTTTATGAAGACAGATTTTTAACTCCCCCTCTGCTACTTTATCCATCAGAAGAGAAACTGGGACCGGGTGTGGTGGCCCACGCCTTGAATCCTAACACTCTGGAGACGGAGGTAGGCAAACCTCTGAGGTCGAGTCTAGCCTGGTCTACAGAGCAAATTCCAGAACAGCCAAGGCTACACGGAGAAACCCAGAAGCCAAAAGGGAGGGGGGGGGGAGGGACTTCTATAGATATACCTATGGATTGCTACTTCCAGTTCTAGTTTGCAACTGACTTATTCAAACAAACAAACACAAGTCTTGAGCCCAAATTAGCCTATTTCCTGTCCCTATGCCTAAGGAATTCAGGGTTAAAAGAAAAACAAAGAATCCCTGGGGTTTTATATTAGGAATGTTTCTAGATTATTCTTGAAGCCACACACAGTTGCGAATTGGCTCCCTCAACATACCCCTATGGCCTTATTTAAAGACAGTGCTCACGGGTGTATTTCAGCTGCCTGTACAGAGTTCCATTGCAGTTTACAATGGGATGAGCAGTGTGTATTGTTTGTCTTCACCGACCACGCTCATCAAAGTAAATAACTCTGGCTTCCTCCACGGACCCACAGTTGACCTGAGATTTATCCCTCCTGGTCTAGGAAGTGGCCTGTTTGTACCCCCAAAGAGAAAACGCGGCCCTTTCTAAGGATGACGTTTGAAAATGAGACGCAAATTGCGACATGTCAGGCACCTCCAATGAGCCTTTTTAAAAAGGCCAGAGGGGCTCCTGAACGATAGCAATTACTGTACTGTACATCTGCTTTACACCAGACTCTACTGGGTGCTGGGATGGCATGATGACCCCAAGGAGAGGTTCCTGACCACTCACAGTATGATGAGAAGGCCACAAATAAAGGTGTAATTACAGATTGATGTCAGAGCCAGGAAAACAGCTCCTGGGATTTGAGAATTGGGGGTGGGGTTAGGGGAGTGTCTCTAAGCAGAGGATGATGATGGAATGTGAAAACAGAAAGTTCAAAACAGAGCGATTGCGCCCGCGCGCGCGCGCGCGCGCGCGCACACACACACCACTTCCTAGTACAACTCCCTTATTTATAGACAAGAAAACTGAGGCTCAGAAGACCTAAAAGATTTGTCCAAGGTCGGGGCTAATTAAGGAAACTAGCCAACTGCAACACCCAATCCCTTCCTGCTAATAGCCATGTATTTATTTATAGCTCAGTTATAGATTATCCAAATTCATTTGGCCAATAAAACGCAGAATATTGAGTTCAAAACCACTTCCCCTAAGACCACAGCATAAATAACGGCGGTGTCTTAATACCAACGATACCTTTTCATTAAATACGGAGTTCTCATCCTATCAAAATTCAAGGGCTTGGGTTCAGTATAAAGAGAAGGTCAGGTCGTAACCCTGTCTAAAATATCCTGGCAGCGCTCACTGTGCAGGGCTAATTTGGGTGTGAGCTGTGTGTCCCGCTGACTTCACACCCCAGCTAAGGTTTCAGACCTACACGTGGCTTTGGAGCGATACCCTGGGAATGAGCCGCTGCGGGCTTGGCGGTGCTCTCCACTGTGTGCGTGAGCCGCATGAAGAATCCCTTTGAGAAGCCCAGGAGTTTCCTCTGGCAATTTTGCGAGGAGGGCGGGGGTGGAGTGGTGAGAAGACGCTGTGACCGGAGATTACCTCTGAAGGCTGGACCGCAGTGGAGAGGGCGTGTCAGTCGGTCTTTTTTACTCCAGACTCTGCAAGTGTAGTAATTGTAATCGAGTGTATTCCGGCACTGTGCATGCAATATACATATTTAATTTTTTCAACATGATTCTTAAACGAGACTAAAATCCCAACAGAACAAAGGTGTGTCTTGGCAGAGGTCAATATTTATCCCCGATAAGAAACCTGTGACCACCGTGGGTCCCCAGGTTGAAAATGTGGACTTCATGACATCTTTGCCCGGGATTAGGAAAGTTGGTTGCGTTGGAGGGAGGGAGGATCGCCGCACTTGCTGCTCGCACCCCGAGATCGCGAGCCTGCGGGGTAAGTGTGCGCTTTCTGGCAGGCGCGCCCCCACGTCCTCACACACCCCATTAGCGCGAATCGGCAAGGGTGGGACCGCGGAGGGGCGGAGCCTTCGGAGCCCCGACCCCACCTCTCCCGCCCCTCCCTCCGCCCCGCCCGCGCTCGCCCCCCCCCCCCCCGCCCGTTCCCGGGGCGCCCGGCCCGCCCCCTCCCCGCCGCGCGCAAACGAACCTCGCGACACCGCGCTTGGCGGTGGCGGTGGCGGCGACGGGCCGGGCGAGGGAGCAGGTTAGCCCGAGCCGCCCTACTCTGCAGTTGTCTCGGAAGCACAGGCTGCGCCCTGAGCCCTGCGCCCGGGAAACACTGGCCGGCCAGCTGCTCCCGGGACCGGCTCCTCCAGGCGCTCGCAGGCATGCAGCCCGGGAGCAGGCGGCGCGCCTCGGGCCGCTACTGAGTCCGCGGAGCTGCGGAGACCAGCTCCAGCCGGGCCCCTCCCACCTCGCCCAGGGACCCACGAGCGACCGCCCTACACCTAGTCTTCGCGCGCAGCCCCGCCAGCGCCACCCCCCGCGGGCTGGAGGGGCTCATGCAGCCGCCAAGGTAAGCGCGGACAGCGGGGCAAGGGGTCCTGACTTTCCCAAGGCGCCGCCGACACTTGCGGTGGCCACAGCGCTGATCTGCGGTTCCCCCAACCCAGTGTTTCATCTCACACATTTGGGGCTTTGCCTGGGATGAATCGCCTTCGCTCTTGGCAGCAGGAAAGTTTTGTGGTTTGGTGTTTGTTCTTTTTTTTTCCTCTAAAATGCTGTCCTGCGGGCAGCAGGCGCTGCGCGTGGCTGGGCAGACCCGGCGCACGTCCCACCCACTGTGAACCGGCCTGGAGCTCCCTCTTGCGCGGTCACCTCTTCCTGAGGCAGGAGCCTCTTCTTGCCTGCAGAGCTCTGGACAGGTCTAGCCATCCCGCTGACCCACCGTAAAGCCCTATTGGCTCGCTTCACCCAGGCCAGAGAGGGAGAGGCTGGAAACAAGCGCGCCTGCCCGGAGTGTGGGGCGTGGGGGAACGTTGGCCGTGTACACTGTCCAGGTTCAAGTGTGAGTGACCCCTGGGATTGTCTGGTGTGCGAGACTTGGAGTGGGTTCTAAAGGGAGAGAATCCGGAAAGGTTCGACACCTCCAGGACTCAGCGCCTGACTTGCGCCTTGGCTCTTTCCTGAGTATGAACTAGGAAAGAGGGGCAGGTGTATGGGGGGGAGGGGACCAGTACAAATGTGAAAGACGCTCCGGTGCAACTCTGGATTGCATCTTACTGAAGTAATTGCATTAGATTTGCTCGGAGGGAGAGTCAATTTCCCCCAGACTGGGATTTTAATGGGAGCCTGTGCGCTGTTATTATGTGGTGTGGTTTCGGAAGGCGTTGGATTGTATTTATTTTATAAATTGGGTGTCCTGAGGCGGATGGATTAGGGAGAATATCGCCATCTAGCGGAAATGGTGAGCTCTGCCGTCCTCTCAAGCCTCAAAGTTGGGCGTCCTCAAAATTAGACGCCTGTACGAGGTGGAGAGATGGAAACTAGTCATGTCCAGAAAGACTAGTTCGCAAGTGTCCCAGTCATCCTGCCGTGCTGGAGCACCCCGATGCCCGGAGCTTAGCTCCAGGGACCGAATGGCGAGTTGTATTAGTGGCAAGAAGTCCTCAAGGACTCCCGGTTCCCTTCTTTGTGTAGTTTTAGGATCTTCCAGCAAAAACAAGGTAAACGGTCACCTGGTGTCTGTCTAGACGGCCCAGGGATCTGGTAAGTCTGTGCTGTCATCCTACTGCTCCCCAATGTACCTATATCTATACAGGTGATCTGTGAAATTAATGTTAAGCCATGACCCTTAGGAAAGAGATTAGACGTTTTAGTGTGCTCTTAGGGGTAACTGAAGAACTGACTGGAGAGTGTCACATCTTATGCACTGGAAGGAGACAGTGTATCCCCAATGGTCTCTTTTTCTCCCCACACAAGGGGAAGAATTCCTGCTGTTCTGGTACTGCAGCGTCGTGACAAGCGAGCCTGCTTCACTGAAATGCCGGACTGCTCGATGGCATGCAGACAGACAAAGGCTCTGGGTGGGGCACCCACACATCCAGGCAGGCTGCGCTTTCTGTATGGCTGGTTTGTGCCGCCACCTTCCAGGCCAGCCGATCCTAGCAGGGAGTGAGATCTCTGTACGAAGGGCACTCTGACTCCTTGGAGAGCCTTGCGGCTTTCTGCCTGGGATGAAGTGCGTCTCCCACCTCCGGACTCCTCCGAGGCTGCGGGCTGCAGTGGTAGTTGGCAAGGGGGGGGGGGCAGCCTCCTTTTTCTTTCTTCTTTCCTTGTAAGTCTTATATATCCCAAACTAGTCTTGACTTCTCTATGTAGCCAGAAATGACCTTGAACTTGTGATTCTCCTACCTTTCTCCTCTGAATGCTGTCACCTGATACAGGCACTGTTGGGAATCGAACCCAAGGCTTTGTGCATGCTAGGCAAGCACTCTACCAGCCGAGCCACATCCCCAATTCCAACCTCCTTTTCTCACCCCCCCCAATCCCTACCCCTTATTTCCTTCCCTGGTGAAGACTGGGGCTTTCACTCCTAATACACACGATGTGTGTGGCTGCTCTGCCCGGCATACCCCTACTGTTCTATCTTGGTTCTGTCTCCCCACTCACACAATCTGTTTAATAATCACGACAAAAGGGGCCTTCAACTAGCATGGTGTCTTCTTAAAGGGGGGCGTATCTGACTTGCGTTGCTGCCTGCCCGGGATGTGGATGACAGAGAAGAAAGGCATGGAAGAAGCCTGTTTAGTATGACCCCTGAGTCTGCTCCTCAGCAGCTTTCTGTAGCCCAAGTTCAGAATTAAAGGAATAGATGCTCCCCACCCCTGACTCCATGACAGGGAGAGATCCAGCCACCCTGGCCATGATGCTCACTGCTCCCAGGAAGCAGGCTGGCATTTTCACAGTTGCTGGCATTTTCACTTCCTGGAAAAGGATTCCAAAGAGGGCAAGGGGAATGGCTATAGGCCTGATTCTCAACCTGTGGGTCGCCAACAGTGGTCCTTTCCCAGGGGTCGCAGATCAGAAATCCCGTAGATCAGATATTTATATTATGATTCATAACAGTAGCAAAATTACAGTTATGAAGTAGTAACAAAATTTTATGACTGGGGGCGTCACCACAGCATGAGGAACTGTGCCAAAAGGTCGCCCATTAGAAAGGCTGAGAACCACTGCTCTAGAGAGCTCTTTCCTGCTACAGCCTTGCTAACAGAATTAGGTTCAAAACCATATATGGCTGCAAAATTTGGTCAAACTTTAAAGTATGCAGGGTAGACAATGAAGCAGGATGCCCCCTGAATCCTTCAGAAGTAGGTACCCAGTGTGGGGGGAGGGGAAGTGGTATACCCACGGGGAACAGCAAAACCAAAGGAGGAATATCAGAAAGCCTCGCAGAGTAATTGGAATATGTTAACTCTACGAAATAAATGAGGTGAAACCCCTCTAAATGCACTTGTTCAAATTACCTTTGTCTGCTTCTGTTTCTCCTGGGGTCCTTGAGGACAAGGGCTTTGCGGTTCAAACTATCATTGTTTTGGTCATTCAGCAACCTTAACTGAGGTTAACCTGATGAAGGCAGTCTCTGGTTTTCCCATCTGTCTGGTTTCCAGCCCGAATGACAGACTCCTCTCTTTAACCAACAGCCCGATTCGTCCTCCCTTCTCTTAGCCGTGAACGGAAATAACTTGAAAAGTGAAGGACCGCTTTACCAAGCATCACGCAACATCAGGCAGGCGTCCGTGTCCTTGGCGACAAATACACATTCTTAAGGAAGACGTCTAGTTTCTTGTGTCCTTTGACACACACATGCTGCACACGGTTTAAGCAAGGGTCAGAGGCAGGAAGCCTCGTGAGGTGTAAACCTTCATAATTTGAAGGACGAGAAGAAGCAGTTTTGAAATCTTGGCAGAAATCGACTATGTAAATGCCGAAGTCTTTTATTTAAGACATTTTAAAGGCTCTGCTAATTGACGAGCCTACAGTGGCATGTCCTCTGAGTGAAGAATAGAGGTGTAGCAAGCACAGTTTACGGAGAGGGTTAATGGCATAGTTCCCCATTGGAGTTACTTTGAGTTTTCAATTGTCTATTTAAAGCAGTGCTGCCCAGAGGTAGCATTTTCAGAAATCAAAATACTACACTAGCCAGAGTGTGAAAAATCAGAGGGGAAAAGAAAATCTCTGAAAATAAAAGATTTTTACTAGCACAAGGCCAATCCCTCTCGAGTCTGTGCCGTCCGAAGGCCAAAGCAGGGATCACACAGCGGAGAGATGCTCTTAAATGTGTTGTCTTCTGTTTCACTAGAGCGCTTTAATAGGTGCTATGTCCGTTCACCTTCCAGGACGCTCAGATCTCAAGTTCCTTGCAGGAGCTTGCCCTGCCCGACAGCAACAGTTTGTCCTGTTACCTGATAGTGCTTTCTGCCCTTATCTGTGTACACAGAGCTGATCTGCCGGAGTCCTCCCTGCCAGTTTCTGTACTATTACATTCCTCTTCGCGTGACTGTCTGCTGGGGGACGGATGCAGACAAGTTTCTCTTGTCCGTAGGCATGTTGAAGAATCTTTTCCTCCACGCCTGGTTAGGTGGGAACACGCGAACACACCAAGACTGACTCGTGGCCACCTTGTAGATGTTTATCCCCTCACGGGCACCGTCAGCTGCCCTCCAGGTAGTCTATTACAGGACTCATTTTCTGTTAGATTTATGCATGGTACTCACAAAGCTCTGTATGTGGCATGTGCTCCTCCCTCCTGAAGGTCCTGTTTATAAACCTTGAGGTCACGCTGGGCTTTCAGTTTGCTAACACAGGTTGCGTTTGCGAAGTTTCGCTCGGTCTGCCAAAGTTTGATAGCCTACTCGGTCTTGCTGGCTGAGTTTTCCCTGGCAGGGATACCCAGCTCATCTGTTCAAATGCTGGCTCTTGAGCTGCTGGGCAACAACCGCACAATCTTGCCGACTTTAGAATTTAATTCCCAGTATGCATTTTTTGCCCTTGATGGTGTCATCCTGAAAAATAGATTGCTTTTACAAAAACATAACAGGGGACACTTGAAACCCCATGAGGATTTTTTTTCCCCTGGCCATCGGAAGAGCACACAAAAGTGCATAGCTCATTGACAGAGCCGCAAAAATTACAGGGTTCCTTTAAAATAATTGGTACGTTGAAGAGAATAATAATATTTGGACATCTGGGTGGGTAATGTGCTTTTATTCTCGTTTAAGTAAATACCTCTGATGGGAGACAGTATCGTATAAATAATCAATAGAGCTTTAAAGCAATTAAAACTGCTTCACCCACACCTCTCCT